GATTTTATGGACTTTCGCCCCAAAACAAAGGCCTTTTTGAGAAAAATGGGAAAATTCGCGGAAAATTCGGAATTTTGAGCAATTTTGGGGGGTTTAGGGGGTAAATAAAGAAATATTTTCTACTAGAGCTTCAAGAAAATCACCATCTTCAAAATTCCCACGTGGGGGGAGGGGGGGAGGGTTACCGCCCCCTTCCTGCCCTACGGTTTATAAAGACAGAGCATCAGAGTCTCGTATGTACCTACTTTAACACGGGAAAGAATTGATGTAGCCCTGGCGCTCTGCATTTGGGTGAATATGTGAATAGATCATATTCATACATCGAACGGGTGAGATTTCATCTATGTAGATTGGTTTAAAACATAAATATAGCCTCAAAAGTCAATATTGATTGTGAGTAATCTGACACGGTGCGCCTTAACTGACGTATTAAGAACTTTGAATGTATATATCAACAATTCAAGTTGGAGGTTGTTGTGGGGTATTCCCAAAGACATAAAGACGGAGCGCTAAAAGCAAAAAATGAAGCTTCTTTTTAATCACCTCTACTATTGGCTGTAGGATTGGCGGCGAAATCGGGACAAGTTTGAAATTCAAATGTACATTTGAATTTCAAACCATTTAGTTCCCGCCCTACGTAGGGCGGGAACTAAATAAAATTGCGGAAACAAAGTATTTTAGGTTGATTTTTGCCCAAATTCACTTACACACTCATATTTGTATAACTTTAGGTTAGTTTTGGTCCGTCGTCGACCGATTAATTTCATTTGGGAGTAACTACTGTCATCTACGACTGTAACGGCCTGTTTGAACCGGCAGAACCACCATGAGCAGAAGAAAAACTAACTTTATCTGATATTACTGCCTATTATCGAGCAAAAGTAAATGTATTATAGTAGGACGCAGTCCCAACTTTCTTAATATATTCGTTTTTAGGAATTTAAATTACGTTTCGAAGAAGAAATGTGGAAAAATCAAGAGGACAAGTTCAAATCAAATTTCCGTTTGCCGCCATGGATTCCCGCGCTCATTTACACACTCACACAAGCACCCAGCGCCAAACCAGGCTTCACTTTTTCCCCGTGCTTTTAGATACGAGCACTCCGTCTTTATGTCTTTGGGTATTCCCTGATGGGGTTTTGGACAATTTCGAAATAGGTTATTGGATGGAGCTCCCCAAAAAATAATCGCATTTTTGTGGTTTTTTAGGGGTAAAATAGCAAAATTTGGCCTACGGGCGACAAATATAAAACCCCCTTTCCCTCATACTTACCTTGACCAATCTGAATTTTTAGTATGTTTTCACCTCGTATGAGACATGAATTTCCTGAAATTTTCATGCCCGTACAAAATTGTTTGCCCCCCGCGGCGGCGTTGCCAAGTTGCGGACTCCACAATATCGAATTTGATGATAAAATGAAGGTTTCGAAGCGTGATTTCCATTCAAAGTCAAAAATTCAAATCGTAGGTTGTAGTAGGGTACTCCCTGATGGGTTTTTGGCCAATTTCGAATTTGAGTGTTCGAGCTTTTTCAAAAATAATTGAATTTTTATGAATTTTTTAGGAGTCAAATAGCAAGCTGGGCATGGGGCGACGAAGTACACCTCTTTTCTCTCATCGTTGCCGTGACCGATGTGAATTTTTAGTATGTTTTTACCTGGCATAAGATGTCACTTTCCTAAAATTTTCATGCCCGTACAAAATTTGTTGGCCCCCCCCCCCCCGTGGCAGCGTTGCCAAGATGCAGACTCCAAAATATTGAATGTGATGATAAAATGAAAGTTTCGAGGTGTGATTTCCTCCAAAATTTAACGAGGAAAGTGCAATCCGAGAGTTTTCGATTAGAAAAGGCATATTTGAACGATTTACAATGCAGTGTTGCCAAATTTACGATTTAAAATTTGTCAAAACCCCGCGAATCGCGTTGCAACCTCAAGCGCTGGGTTTTTATTTCGTTCAGAATCGGTCTTTATGATTCTTCTACATACACATACATACTCTATACATTTAGGTACCATGAAAATTATGTCATTACTTACTTGATGGGTGCCGTTAACTCACCGAGAGAGGCCGGATAAAGCGATGAGTCAGGGAAAAACGAGCGGTTCTGGTTGACAGAAAGTTGTTGAATCTACTCCATCAACAAAAAGTAGAATTTGAGAACTTTCCCCCACCCCCCCAAAAAAATGAAAAATAAAAAACAAATAAAATGAGTGGATAACGGCTATTCAAAAATCGTTTGAAAGTCCACCTCCTCTCACAGCGGATTGGATAGTTCGAATCCAGAGGACTTCTTACTGTAGAGAAAATGACCTTCGACAATTTAAAGAATACAAAATTTGCAAAAGACCACAATAATTTTGAGTTTTATTGAAAAAAATTCCCTGATAACAAAAGCAGACTAAATAACGAAATTAAAAATGTTTTGTAAATTTTTTGTCAAATAAAGAGAACTTTCTGTCATCCCGAACCGCTCGTTTTTCCCCGAGTCATCGCTTTATCCGGACTCTCTTGGTGAGTTAACGGCACCCATCAAGTAAGTAATGACATAATTTTCATGGTACATAAATGTTTAGAGTATGTATGTGTATGTAGAGGAATCATAATGACCGATTCTGAACGAAATAAAAATCCAGCGCTTGAGGTTGCAACGCGATTCGGGGGATTTTGACAAATTTTAAATCGTAAAGTTGGCAACACGGCATTGTAAAATGTTCAAATATGCCTTTTCTAATCGAAAACTCTCGGATTGCATGTTTCTCGTAAAATTTTGGAGGAAATCACACCTCGAAACCTTCATTTTATCATCAAATTCGATATTGTGGAGTCCGCAACTTGGCAACGCTGGCATGGGGGGGGGGGCAAAAATTTTTTTACGGGCATGAAAATTTCAGGAAAGTCACATCTTATACCAGGTGAAAACATACTGAAAATTCAGATCGATCAAGGCAAGTATGAGGGAGAGGGGGTTTAATTTGTCACCCCGAGGCAAATTTTCCTATTTTATCCCTGAGAACCACAAAAATGCGATTATTCTTCGGGGAGCTCCGATAACCTTTTTCGAAATTGCCCAAAAACCCATCAGGGAGTACCCCACTACAACCTCCAACTTGAATTTTTTATGTACATTCAAAGTTCTTGATAAGTCAGTTAAGGCGCACCGCGCTGACAGAGTGGGTTTTTTGAGATGGATTTTTAATTCGTATGAGTACTAATTGGCCAAGAGTAAAGAAATTACTCATGTTCAGTTTTTCTAACAAATATCTTAAAAGTTTGATTTGAGGTAATGTTCTATTGTTTTGAACCAAACGATACATCGAATCACAATCGAATACGATCCTGTTCTTTTTATTTTTGCACATTTCTTGCTCTAAAATCGTTTTATATGCTTAAAACGAGCAAATGAATAAAGTTAGGAGGGTGAATTTTTATAATCAACCTACTTTGGCTCGGTAACAAGCAAGGATCTCAGATAGAGTTAGTTTTTCTTTTGCTCATGGTGGTCCTGCCAGTTCAAACAAGCCATTACAGTCCTGGATGACCTAACAGGTACTCCCAAATGAATAGTTCCGACTAACGACCCGCTCTGAACAGGGCCCGCGCAAACCTCGCCGCCATTGTTGTTTACAAAAATCGAGCATCCCGAATGAGCACCAGCCACCTTCGAAACGCATCAATTCGCTTTGTTTTCGGGGTGCCCCATTGAGAACGGGTCGTCAGTTGGATAAACCCCGGCTGAAATTGTTTCAATATAGTAAGATAAGATAAGAAAATTGAGTTCAAATAAATATCCAGATTAAAAAATTAATTTTATTAGAAAAATATAAAAATCAGCAAAACAATGACACAAATAATGTACATTATCATATCATTTGACGAGAAAAAAAATATCCAGTCCTTTATTTCATGCTTAAATAAGACTCAAAAGATGTACAAAAATTGATTGGTGTCACTCAATTTGATTGAAATGGAATTAATAAGTTAAATTATACCTTAAAAATGTCAGTTTGAGATGTTTAAGATACATCGATAGATTGTTTACAAAAACAAGCTTCAGAAACAAGTGAGCGCAGTTTGTAAGTCTCTCATACCAGTATGTTATTCGCAAAATAAATCTCATCAAGTGCACACATTGGTAGTTCAGTGTTTTTTCCTTCCAGGGCCTTTATCTCATACGTTGCGAATCACGACAGGTTTTGGGCCCCACACTTCCGAAAAACGAAAATAAAAGTGCGGTAAAATGGGATGGTTCTCGGACAGCTCTGAGGAGAAAGAAAATTTAAATAAACAAATCCAAACCAATATTCAAAACTTAGAGCAACCCGCGAGTAATCACGAAATAATACTCTATATATCAATTGCAGTGATTTTCTTCTTGTTAATAGTGATACTAACGGGACTGTGGTGTTACAGGAACAATAAACGTCATAATCGTCTGCAAAAACGTGTACAAAGTTTGAAAATGTTGGAGGCAACAGTAGACGATCTCCAAAAAAGAGTGTTACCAAAATGATCTATGTTCTTTCATATTGACGCCACATATCATTATAAACTTTTTTATTTGACGCAATATGTCATTATAAACCTTTTTTTTTCAACGCCACACTTCAAAGCAAAAGTGATTTTTTTTTCGTGTAATTTATTTTGACGCCATATGTCATTATAAATTTTTTTTTGTTGTTTGACGCCATATGTCATTATAAACTTTTTTGTTTGACGCCATATGTCATTATAAACTTTTTTGTTTGACGTCATATGTCATATAAACTTTTTTTACGCCATATGTCAGTATAAACATTTTCATTAACGCCATATGTCAATAATTACGTTTTCTTGTAACTTTCAACGCCACATGTATGAAAGTGTATTTTTTTCTTCTCTCTTCGTGTGTTCACTGATGCCATAAGTCGGGATAAATTTGCATTCTCGTGATTTTTTTGACGCCAAATGTCAAGATAACAGTGTACTTATTTGTGTTTCTTATCGCCTAACGTCAAAAAATGGCATCTACGACAGAAGATTATAGCACTATCACAAAACTAAAATCTACAGAAACGTTCCATATGTGGCGCTTTCAAGTAAGTGTCCTCTTAAAGGCCATTCCAGCCCTTGGTATATGTGAAGGAACTAAGAAAAAGGATGATTGCACAACTCAGAACGAGAAGTCTGCGTGGGAGCAGAATGACGCGAAAGCACAAAAGGCCATCGTGTACACTATCGATGAAACCTTGCTGCCGCACATCATGACTTGCCAGAATTCCGAAGAAATGTGGTCAACTCTGACGACATTATTTGAAAATAAAGGGGAAGAAAGAAAAGCATCACTGATGCAAGAATTTTTCAACTTTAAGCCGAAGAAAAACCAAAAAATTTCCGACATCCTGAACGACTTCTCCTCTCTTTTCGCCCGCATGAAAGCTCTCGAAACAGGAATGAAGGACGAAATGCTCACGAACAAGATACTAACAAGCCTTCCTGGTGGTTATAACAACTTCGTCACAGCCTGGAAGTTGACTGGGAAGACATCTTTAAACGACCTGATGACAAACTTGATCAGCGAAGAAAACCGGGAAGAAATCAAGACAGAAGAGCACGTAGCCTTTACAGCGGGACCCTCAAAGGACCTGAAGTGCTTTAGGTGCAATCTCCGTGGACATATACGGCGCAATGGACCACTAGACAAGGTACGAATTTCAGCATTCTGATACATGTTTCGTAACTAAAATTTCACGTAGAACACAATGCGCACATAGAAAATTACCGAAATCAACTCCTTACGAAGATATTTGATGATTCTTCATGCGTGAATTCAAACCACCCGCTCATTAAAACTCAATGCTCTACGTGATTCACATCGCGCGCTAAACGTTATCATGACAGTCTCTGCGATGTAAAAATCTGGCAACCTCAGTCTTGACGCTTCGGCTCAGCTGTAGCAAATTGCTTATAGTTCGAACAACACATGGTGAAAAATGAACATTGCTCGATTGAGAGGCTTGCAGAAACCGTTGTAGTGCGCGATTTGACTCGCGTAGAGCTTTGAGTCTCTTGTGAGCGGGCAGTTCGAATTCCTTGTAGCCAATGTGAAATAAAAACGTTAATATCTTCGTTAGGAGTTGCTTTCAGTAATTCCCGTTGTGTGAATCGTGTTCTACGTGAAATTCTGGTTAAGAAACATATAACAGGTTGCTTAAATTCGTACCTTGTCTAGTGGTCCATTGCAAAGTCAACCTCAACTCAAGAAGAAGGAATCAGAGTGCAAACAAAGACAACGAAGGTACGGACAACTGGAGTAAAGGTAATAAAAAAACTTTCCCAAAATGTGAATACTGTAAAAAGCAAAACCACCCAAGTGATAGGTGTTTTTTCAAACCAAAATATAGTGGTGAGAATAATGACAATTCCGATGGAGAAAGCAAAGTTTCCTTTTTTTGTGAAGAGATAAATGTTGAGTCGACTTAAAATTATTCTTTTTCAGCTCAGGAGACTTTTTTTGTAACTGATGATGACCCTGGTGTGACAACTTGGGTATGTGACTCAGGCTGCACTTCGCATCTGACCTCCCGATTTGACTTGTTAAAAAACCTCAGGAAATATGAATCTGACATCGGTGTAGCAACAAAGAATGGAATAATAAAGGTCACCCATAAAGGAGACTTTGAGGCGGAAAAGTGCACGTTAAAAAAGGTACTTTTTTTAAAAGATGTAAAAATAAATTTGCTATCCGTGAATGCAATTGTACAGTCTGGCTATAAAGTATTATTCGGTGAAGAAGGAGTACAAATATTAAATGGAGACAAGATAATATTATATGGTAAACGTGACAAATGCGGACTTTTCACCATAAATCTAAATCTAACTTGAGCAAGTTGGGAAACCAAAGAAGTGAGTGCAGAAAGTTGCTGTTGTAGCCATTGGAGATCGCAAACGTCATTAGTTACCTTTTCTTTTTTCTAATTTATTTTTTTTTTTTTGCGTTTCATTCAAAATGGGAAAATATAAAAAAAAAAAAATAAAAAAATAAGAAATAAATTAAGGGTGGCTATCAGTTTAAGATGTTTAAGATACATCGATAGATTGTTTACAAAAACAAGCTTCAGAAACAAGTGAGCGCAGTTTGTAAGTCTCTCATACCAGTCTGTTATTCGCAAAATAAATCTCATCAAGTGCACACATCGGTAGTTCAGTGTTTTTTCCTTCCAGGGCCTTTATCTCATACGTTGCAAATCACGACAAAAAAATCTTCCAAGGTCTCAAAAGTCCTCCAATTAAACAATATGGAAAATTTAACAAAACAAGAAATATTTAAGAGAACCTTTTTTTAAAAATTTAAAAATGTGTTAAAACATTCGGAAATAAAGAAAAATAAATAGGTATCCTTCCCTTACATAGAGGCTTAGTTAGAAATGAGACAAGATTTTTGGGGAAATTCCCTACCTGCCCAGAGGGATTTATCAATCGAGTTAGCCGAGTGAAACACACTTCGAAATAAACAGAAATTATTCATATCAAATGTGCATAATAGAGGAAACCTATCACCTACCTTTGATTACCTTGTCTCATACAGAAAATAACTCTTTGTGAAGGATTAGGACTGGAATTATTGCAATATAATATTAAGAATTGGTATGTTTCAGAGAAGACATTGCGCAGGTGCTTCAGATACTCTTCCAAGAACGCATACCAGCAGGGATGAAATCGGGAAGGATAGAATATGATAATGATTTAGACACTAAAAATTTAGCTATTTTAGAGCAGATAATTGTGAATGTAATTATCTTTGTACAACAATTTTGAGGGAAGTTCCTGATTTCAGCGACTAAATAGCCTGACAGGGTAGAGGGTGAAATCAGGCACCAAGTTAAAAGTGGGGCAACTAGAATATCATAATGGGATTCTCCATTGGCATTCAGCGGGAGTAATTTCGTTTGGACTTGGAGAATGTCATATACGTCTATTTCATAGGTTGGCACTTAGCATGTATTGCAGGGGAGATTTGCCCTTGTAGGTGTGGTAGCCCTGCTGGGGCAGCTTTCGTTCACGTATTTCTGGGCTCCTCATTATTTCCTTCCTCCGATCTCTGATAATCGAGGTATATCAATGGCGACGAGGATTTTTACGACTTACCGCAAATAATGTGCTATGCGTCGGTTTGTCCCTGTGTTAATTCTCTGCGAGTTTCGTTTGCTTTTTCCTCGCGATGCCGGACGAGCACACTGCTGATAACGGCCATGGCAGCGATCTCCAATGGCTACAACAGCAACTTTCTGCACTCACTTCTTTGGTTTCCCAACTTGCTCAAGTTAACCTACAGCAAAAAGCCACGCCGTCTACCAAATTCTCCTTCACTCCTTTCGAACTCAATTCTCCTGAGTCAATCACGGACTATTTCGATCGTCTCGAACTTCAACTCAAGCTCTGCGACGTGCTGGCAGAAAATTGGGCCTCGCAAGCGAGAGTTTTCATAGGCTGCGACTTAAACGCATCACTCATCAATCTTGCTTACCCTACCGCAGTAAGTTCTCTAACCTTGCAAGAAGTTAAGACTCTCCTCATCACTCATCAAGGGAAACACCGGAATAAGTTCTCAGAAGCCGACCACTTCCGCTCCATCCTTCAGACACAAGATGAGCCTATTCAGGAATTTGTGTCTCGCCTGAAAGCTGCTGCTCGTCACTGCCAATTTGGTGAATTCTTAAACTATTCCTTAACAGTGCAATTCATTCATGGAGTCCTCCGAGATGATATCAGGGATGACGTCATCGCTCTCTAGAGACGCCGACACAGGGGCCAGGTGCGCGGGGAAGAGAGGGGTAAGTAGATTTCTATATGTGCAAGTAGCTTCCTGTGTGAGCCACGTTTAGCAAATGGTCTAATGAGTCTCGAGGCTCATCGCAGATTGCACTTACGGCTGCCCTGACTGGCCCTGGCTATCAGAGCAGTGGTGCCAAATTTTGAAAAGCATGACAGGGGCGTAGAGATCTGTCAAAGCAACGTTTTAAACAAAACGGAGGAGTGAAATTCTCATTTGAAGATTGCTGAACTGCTCAGCCATCCTCGAATCAGTGCGTTTGCTTTTCTTATATATGCATATTTTAAATTAGCGCAGAGCAGTCTTAGGTTTCTTTTTAAAAAAACCAAGTAACGTACACTCTTGGTATTCATTGCACATAAACTAGAAAGCTCCAGAATGACAAAAAAATTTAAATCATAATTATTGACGGATTAGTAAACTTTTTACACGCTTTGGAAAACCGAAAACGTTTGTGCCAGTCACTTTCCGGTAAAGAAGGGGTACTGTGTTATTGTATGAAGTAGGGGGTCGAAACGATCGCAAAGGCGGTATACTACGTATACGCGTCAAAAATTATGACTACATACAAAATGTACAATTTTTTTGGAGGCAAAAATATGGTCCAATGACCTAGAACTCTTTTTCCTTGGAAACTTCACTGATTTAAGTGAAGGGTGGGATTCACAAGAGTCAAATTGGTTCAACTTTCATAAACAAACATGACAGTATGGTATTACAAATACAATTAAATATCAACGGTCATAGTCGAAAAATATGTATCTCTTTCAAGATTTCCAATTATGATTAATTTTTGAAAAGAAAACTTACAAAAATGACTAACTCATTGAAATTATCTGTGGCCATTATAAAATCGGAGAAAAAACTGGAAGAAAATTTAAAAAAAAAAAAAAAAAAAAAAAAAAAAAAAAAAAAAAAAAAAAACTGTCATGTACTTTTCTTTTTCTCTTAAAGATAAAAGCAGAAATTTGCAACAGTGCAATTTGCAATACAAATTTTTCAACTTTTACCATTGATATGCTGGTATAGGCTCAGAAATGGATCTTGGGAATTGGAGTAACGAACAGAATGTTTTGGAATTCATCCATATGTGCTTTTCACCTGTCAATTCTTAGTTCCTGATAGCATTTACAGCACATAATTTGACACCTATGTATGATTATGGAGTTATGTGAGCATATCCTGTGGAATAAGCAACGCTTCCATAGAGCTCAGAGTTTGGTGAATGGCTTCCTTGTAGAAATCTGTTCAGCTCTTCCTGGGTGTCAAAAATCATAACCATAAATGGGCTTCCTGGAACATGCTCACCAGCCCACTTAACCTCGACTCTATAATCTCCTGGTTCGGTCGGATCAAATTTACATAGGATGGTTCTATCTTTTTGACTTTCACGCCTCATTTCAACTCTGAATGCACCTAAAACATGCATTGAAGAGGACAATATTATTAAACTCCCTAAATAGAGCAGTTTCTTAGGAGACACAGCGCCTTGCAAATCGGGCGAACAGCATTATGTACAAAATAGTATATCACTTTGTGACGGTCTGCAGCAGTCATTCATATCCTCGCGGGGATATGCTTGGCCATCGCATAACACTCCCCTCCCCTGAACCTTGGTTCTCGACCAGTGACCGCGGCTGTCCGCCATCTTGAGCTTCCATCTTCGCTTGCCTATCCGCGTCACTGGTCGTCGATCAAGGTTTCCTTCCTTCCCCCGTTTCTCGTTAGCCTTTTTACCTCGTGTTGAGTTTTCATTTATATTGTATTCCGAACTGTGCCTTTCCACTGTGTTTTGTTGCCCAATAAACCGTTGTTTTTCCTTTCGTACTCGCTCGTCTCGTCTCTTGTGTTACGTCTCCTCACCGACCGACCCTCTGAGGTGAGGCCTGCCTCGCGCACCTCATATTAGCCTAGTCAGCCGCCTCCCCGTTTCAACTTGATGTATTTTACAAATTTTTTAAAATTGACTCTCCTGTTCTTTGAGGGCCGCGATCTTAGATTTAAAGCACACCGTTTGAAGGCTGTTTTTGACTTCAGCTTTGAAACTTATGACCAAAATTACATGGAATATGATTTCTCACTTGAATCATTGCATGAATATTTAACTAATTTGAGCCCTCTTGCCTTTCTTTGGCCGTCATTTTGAATAAGGGGCATCTCATTTGACCGAAGGGCTCTTTCGACTTCCTACTTGAAATTGACTAGCAACATTAGGAATAAAGTGGTAACTCACTCAACTTATTACAAGAATATTAAAAAAAATACCTGTCTGCCTTTCAAAAGACTCCGCACACTCCTTATGGGAAAGTGCACCACGATCGATTTTTAATTTTTTTACTGCGTTCAATTTCTCTCAAGATGCTGATCAAAACTCATCATTGCGTCAACTTTCTACGATGCACAGTTTTCACACAATACGCCCGGAACGCTTCAATTATTTGGCGATAAAGAGTCAGAAAGAACAAGGCATTCGAGAACTGGAGTCTCTATATACCCAGGGTTACGACAACTCACTTTTGGTTGGGCTGAAAGTGGCCTAAAAAAAAATCCAATTCTGATTAGTTCTTGCTCATGGAGTTACAAACGAGTGCACCAAGATGGTGATACTTCGAATGTGAACAAAAGTAATGAAAATATAACTAAATTGTGGTTTATCAAGAGTGAATTGTTAATCACATCGCACCAAAATGAAAATAGATTCTGAAATTATCCACTAATCAATCTAATTTTATTTTATTGCAATTTCTTTGGTTAGGTTTTGATCAGTTTTGTTGATGTTGTTTTTGTATGACAGACATCGCAGGATTTCTTATCCTTATCCCTCAATATCGTTCGTTTGAGTGCACTCGTTTGTGCTTCCATGGCCAGCCAAGGCCGGCTGCTAGTCAGCTGATAATCAACTTGTCTAAACTCTGGGTATAAAGGAACTCTATCACTAACAGGTCAGATGTGAATAAGGAAAAAATCAGCCAGTGTCTGTCTTTTTATCTATTCCTGCCTTCTCTGGGGCTATCTCCCTCCCGCTCTCGTCCGTTTAACGTTCATTGTTTTTCTCCGACTTTCCTGTTCTTATGCTCCTCACAAATCTGATTTGGATGGTCAAGCAAAAAGGTGGTCAGAATCTGAGATAAGACTGCTGCTTAGTGCTGGAGTTTCCCTGATTTCCTTGATGACACACAGTCGACCGTTCACTCGAGTGCTGAAATGAGGAATCTTTCTGACTCTTTATCACTGAATAATCGAAGTTTTCTGGGCGTATTGTGCGAAAACATTGCATTGTAGAAAGTTGGCGCAATGATGATTTTTGATCAGCACCTTGAGATGAATTGAATGCAATACAAAAATTAAAAAATCGATTGTGGTGCACTTTCCCATAAGGAGTGTGCAAGGTCCTTTGGCTACTATTTCGGATTTGACGGAGGGACTTATTCACCTTCATACTTGGAGTTTAAGATCAAAATTACTCAGGAAATGATACCTCTTATGACACTATGTGTACATCTTAAAATACTTAAATCTGTAGTAGCGATATCATAGCTGCCATTTTAAATTTTAGGCATTTTAAGAGGGATTCCAGGGTCCAGCCAGGTAAACTTATACTTAAGGTCATTTAGGATGACCAAATGATGACATTTACCCTGCAAAGTTTATTACCTACAAAATCCGTCCCGCATTACCCCTCTTTATACGTGCTTTTCATTTACTTATATGACAATATGAAACAAAGCGATTGGAGACAAACCTTTTGGCCCTCTTACTCGCACTGTGAGCTGTCCAGCACCTGCTCCTCGCGTGTCACAAATAAAGCGAGATTGGAATGTTGCAAGTACACCATGTTCTATTCCTGGACCATAGACGCGAACTTTACTTGCATCAGGCACCCCTGCCACACGCAGTGTAAATGGACTCCCAGGGACATCAACACCTGATGGAAGACAGAGCATATTTTAGCTTAGTGCTTAAATCTTAAAAAGTGATTACTTAATCCTACTATTTTATCCTTCCTGCTTACCATCACTCTTACTACAAATTATCGACCTGTTGAAAATGACCTTCTTTTTCCAGCCCATTATTACACATATTGTATTATTTCCCGCTTTGCTTGATCTGTTTCTCGAACTTCATGCAGCAATTCGTGGCCCTAGCTTTTATAGTCATTTAAGAAATAATAATGATAATGATAATAATAATAATTATAATAATAAATAAAGCGAATCAGCAATATCGCCTGTATTGGAACAACCCAGTCCTAACTGATAGGATGGTTATGGCTAATAGACCTGACGTCATCTTGATAGATAAGCAGGCGCGTGTTGTGCAGCTCTTGGATTTTAGCATCCCTAACGGACACAATTTGTTGTCGAAGTATGAGGAAAAGATATCAAAATATATGCCTCTCTCTGTGGAAATTAAGAGAATTTGGGCCATGGACATTGTCTCTATCAGGCCTTTTATCATGTCCGTCACAGGGAGTCGTACCGGAGAGCCTAATTAAACACCTCAAAGAGCTGAAACTCCCAGATCACCTTCTCCACACCATGCAGAAGTCAGTTATTCTCAGCACCTGCAATATAGTTCGGAGTTTCCTTAACATGGAATAGTCCCCTCTCTTTCATCTCTCTTATTTCTTTTTTGGTTTTTTTTTTAGTTTTCTATTCTTGAAAATCTTAATTCGACTCGTCACTGATTGTGAGGGCTGCAGCGTAGAGCAAGCAGTTGATTTTCCACAGGTCGAGATTTTCTTCGCTCTCAAGCATATTTTGTACTTCATTGTTAGTTCGCATGATGATTTCTTGGTCTTTTTTCGCCCCCTTTATTTTCCTTATCGGCTCTCTTTCTTCCAGATTCATCTCGAGAACTTCTTGATACACGCTTCTTAGCTTTGATGTAGAGGTCGTTGTTTCTAGTGTGCTCGCCGTGTTCTGCTCTTGGGGAGTTGTTTCGTGTTCTGGTTCTGGAGATGGTATTCTTAGCTGCTTACTTCTTCTGGGAGTTTCGTTGGTTTGAGGTATGTTTGGCGTTGACTCTGATTCCCTGGTGTCAGTTGGATCATTCCGTCTCGACGGGCGGTTCTCGTCGTTTGTGGCATCACCTGGTGAGCTTTCAGTTGTGTGTTGGTCAGTGGATGCTTCTATGGTGGAGTGAACATCGTCTTTAATTTCTTGAAGCTGTTGTTCGGTTAGTTTTTTCTTGTTCTCGATGTATCTTCGTTGCGTGGCTAGCTTATTAGCGTTGAGATGCAGGCGGGCATTAGGGTTTCGTTGCCTCCATAGCTCGTAGGTGGCCTTTATGTTGTGGATGCCCGTGTTTTCCTTAACAAACCAATGGCACCATATGACTTCTTTGTATTCCTCTTCGGTCCATTGTACTCTCTGGGTGTGGTTGGCTGCATTATTCATTGTGGTAGGGGAGTTTTGGTTGTTATTGGTATTTTGGGTTTTTCTGGTGACACCCGGTTCACATTGTGTTGCTAGGTTTGCGGCTACATCAGCTTTGATTTCTTCAATTTGTGCCTCACTTAGTTTTTGGTTTTTCGCAATGAATCTTCTTCAATTTGTGCCTCACTTAGTTTTTGGTTTTTTGCAATGAATCAAGTTTTTGGTTTTTCGCAATGAATCAGTTTTTGGTTTTTCGCAATGAATCAGTTTTTGGTTTTTCGCAATGAATCAGTTTTTGGTTTTTCCCAATGAATCAGTTTTTGGTTTTTCGCAATGAATCGGTTTTTGGTTTTTCGCAATGAATCAGTTTTTGGTTTTTCGCAATGAATCAAGTTTTTGGTTTTTCGCAATGAATCAGTTTTTGGTTTTTCCCAATGAATCAGTTTTTGGTTTTTCGCAATGAATCGGTTTTTGGTTTTTCGCAATGAATCGGTTTTTGGTTTTTCGCAATGAATCAGTTTTTGGTTTTTCGCAATGAATCAAGTTTTTGGTTTTTCGCAATGAATCATAATAATAATAATTAACAAACACCAGTTAAAAGCAGAAACCAAACAATCAAGAAGAAAATAGCCGAAACCTTAAGATCAAAATGGACCGAAAAGAACATGCACGGTCAGTACCCTCGCTTACTGGAAGAAGACAGAGTCGAAAGCACTCTTTCAACCATGTGGCTGAGCAAAGGAGCATTAAAAGGAGAAACCGAAAGCCTAATTGCAGCAGCCCAAGACCAGGCTCTTAACACTAGGTACCGAGATCGGAAAATACACGGCAGAGCCCGAGACAGTAAGTGCAGAATTTGCCATCAGCACGAGGAAACTATAGATCACATAATATCGGCGTGCCCGATCCTTGCCAAAAAGGACTACATAGAACGGCATGACAGAGTGTGCACCCATCTCCATCATAACCTGTGCAAAGAGTACAATATAGCAGTCGAAACAAACTGGTACGAGCACAAGCCAAAAGCTATCACAGCAACGGATGATGGACAAACAACTATCATATGGAATGTTCCTGTCAGAACTGATAGGACGGTTCCGAACAACAGGCCTGACATCATACTGCGAAAAAGGGGGCAAACTTGCTTGCTTATCGACGTGTCAATCCCAGCGGATAGGAACATATCATTGAAGGAAGCCGAAAAAAGACTCAAGTATAAAGACTTAGAAATCGAGATAAGTAGAATGTGGAAAACGGACACGAAAGTCATACCCTTCGTAATCGGCGCGACGGGAGCAGTCTCGAAAGAATGGAAGAAATTTAAGGAAGAAATCCCTGGGAAGCACTCTCTTGTCACAGCTCAGAAAGCAGCAATCCTCGGAACTGCTAGGATACTGAGGAAAGTCTTAAGTTGAAAACCTTAACCAAAGAATCCATACTCATTTGTTCCCACACACCAAAAACACCCCTACCCCCACCACCTCAGGAAAGAAACCTTTAGGCAGGCGTCCTCCAGACACCTACCCTGCCTCGGTTCCTAAAACAGGTATCCTTGTCCGGGACGAGCCATCCCCCAAAAGGGGGAGTAAAATAATCACCACCCGGCCACCCAAACCACAAACAGTCCTCATACCTAGGAGCATTGTTTGCCCCTGTGTCAGGGCTTAAAGCAACCCAGCAAAGCTGGTGACAGTAGTGAACATAAAAATAATAATAATAATAATGATAATGATAATGATCATGATAATGATAATAATAATGATAATAATAATGATAATAATAATGATAATAATAATAATTATGGAAGAAAGTATAGGTATCCAACATAAGACAATAAAAGAAAAGGTAAAGAGAGAATACATACGTCGAGTAAGAGCAGTACTAAAGACAGAGCTAACGGCAAAAAACAAGATAACTGCAATCGGAGCGCTAGCCGTACCCGTTCTACAGTACGGATTTGCAATTCTGAATTGGAAAATAAAAGAAATAAAAGCGCTAGACATAAAAACAAGAAAATGTCTGACAATGCATAAAATGCACCACCCATCCGCAGACGTTGACAGGCTATACGTGAGCAGAAAACTAGGAGGACGAGGACTTAGGCAAATTGAATCAACATACAAATCTTCCATCATCAATGCGAAGTACTACCTCCAGGAAAAAAAAAACGAAGACCCTTTTCTCAAAGCCGTATATGCCGTCAACCTTGCTCTAGACAAAGACCACATTGCGAAAGAAGCAAACAAGTTTGAAGCCGAGCTCGGAGAAAACTTTGAAGTGGCCCCCATAAACAGCAGGAAGCAAAAAATCAAAAAGAAAATCTCAGAAAGCATCAGAACCAAATGGAAAGGAAAGATCATGCACGGGCAGTATCCACTGATGCTAGAAAATGACTCTATCGAGAGTAATCTCTCTACCATCTGGCTCAGTAAAGGTGTACTAAAAGCAGAAACAGAGAGCCTAATTGTAGCGGCACAGGATCAAGCCTTAAACACAAGGTACCGAGAGAGGAAAATCCACAAGAAACATGTGAATAGCAAATGCAGAATCTGCCACCAGTTCGAAGAAACCATTGAGCACATAACATCAGGTTGCCCAATTCTAGCCCAAAAGGACTATATCGAGAGACACAACAGAGTATGCACCCAACTTCACTACAGCCTCTGCAAAGAATATGGAATCGAAGTCGACGCAGATA